GGCTGCACTGGGCAGCTTACGGGATGTTGGTTGTCCAACCAGGGATTGAGCCCAGGCCCTGGGCAGTGAAAGCTCCGGGTCTTAACCACTGGACCAGCAGGGAATTACGTCGGCTGCATTTTCTCATTGTCTCTCTTTATAACAGTATCAGAGTCCAGGGAGAAGAGAGAGATCGTTTAGCCCCTCTGGCATGACTGATCAGAAGACAGTGGTGGTGGTTTCTGGGTTCACTTGCATGTCTATTTTTGGTTGTGCTGCTGTTTGCCCTGTGCTCTGGCCTTCCTGGTTTTGAGGAGCAGGGGACACGCTCTAGCTGCAGCTCATGGCTTCTCATGGCAGGGGGTAAGTTGTGGAGTAGGGCCCTAGCAGCTCTGGAGCTCTGGGTCAGAAGTCGCGGCCCACAGGCATCAGTCACTCCGAGGCACGTGTTATCTTCCAGACACGCGCTCGAACCCTGATCCCTGCATTGGCAGGTGGAGCCTTCTCCACTGTACCACCAGGGGAGTCCTGTGGCTGCTATTTCACGGGAGTTTCTGCTTGACGAGTCACTGCTGGTTGTATCATATGAACAGTTAAGACTGCTGAAACACCTGGAGAAAACTTTGTCAGCTTCTCTCATCTGTAAGCTGGGAAGCCTCAGGGCTGCGTCCTTTCCCTGGGTCGTGACTAATCTAAATGACCCCGCCGATTTGACGGAGCTCCTTACGTTATGTCCTTGTCACTGGCCATCAGGGACCACGGTATCTTGTGGATGTCAGTATTTCCTGTTAGGTCAGCGGATGTTTAATCATCTCCCAAAGCTGGTGTGATTCATGCCTTCCTGCTGGGCAGCTGTGATAGGAGTTCCTGGAAGCTGTTTTCCGCTCCAGGATGACTGGCTGTGACTTCCTAAGCAAGTGGCTTCCCCACTGACCCCCAACTGATGTTCCCAAAACCAACTTCCCCTTGGCCAGACCCCCAGAGTGCCCCCCAGGATCACTCCAGCCAGAGGGAAGCGTGACGGGGCACCCAAGAGGGTGTGGGAACCATTGTGGTCACGTTGTCTTCATTTAGCAAGTTAAAAAAAATTTTTTTTTTTTTATTGAGGGATAATTGCTTTACAGAATTTTGTTGCTTTCTGTCAAGCCTCAACATGAATCAGTCGTAGGTACACATATATCCCCTCCCTTTTGAACCTCCCTCCCATCTCCCACCCCATCCCACCCCTCTGGGTTGATACAGAGCCCCTGTTTGAGTTTCCTGAGCCAAACAGCAAATTCCCGTTGGCTGTCTACTTTACATATGGCGTTTAGCGAGTTTAGCAAAGCCTCGTGGGCATGTGACCGAGGCCCTGTGTGAACCCAGGCCGCTGCGTGGACCCTCCCTGGCTGGCTCTGTCCCTCTTTGCCCACTGCCACGCAGTCCCACCGCGCCGGTGTCATGGTACAGTCCCGGCCAGCAGGAGCCCCTGTGTGTGTTAAGGCTGTGGGCAGGTCCGCGTTCCCGCCCAGTGACTGAGCCCTGTTCTCAGCATTCTGGAGCCCATGTCCCCTTCCTTTGTCGTCAAGAGCCTCAGCACGACATCTCTGTTCAAAGCTTTGTGTCCAGGGTTTGTTTTAATCACTGTGGTAAAGTGATGGGGACACTGCCTGTGTGGATGAAGAATTCATTATTCACGTTGCTTGAGAGAAGGGGCGGCACATCCAGAGTAGAGGTTTGGGTCAGGAGGCAGAAGCGAAGAAAGCATGGCCCAGAACCTTCGTGGGGGTTGGCAGGAAGGAGTGGTGAGCAGCACAGGACCATGGAAGAAATTCAGAACTGGGCGGCTTGAATGATTCGGGCAGGCCTGAGCGCCGGGGCAGCCCCTGGTTGTCCAGTGCCAGCCTGGGGGTGATGGGGGTCATATTGAGGCACCGTGTGCATGCAGGTGAAGGGGCCGACTGGGGTGGGGGCTCTGGACCCGTCTGGGGAGGGGCGCAGTCCTGGGGGGGCAGCCTCTCCAGGACCAAGCCCCCAAGGCCAGAGCACCGAGAGCACAGTGACAGTGACAGTCGCTCCGTTGTGCAGGACTCTGCGACCCATGGGGACTCCCCAGGCCAGAGTACTGGAGCGGGGCGCCGCTCCCTTCTCCAGGAAAGAAGAACACAGGAAACAAGCAAAAGTCGTCAGTACAGTCAGAGATGGATGGGGGCAGATAAAAGCAAACCGTTCTTAGCTGCTTAGAGATACAGGCTAGGACTCATTTAAGAGAGAAAACAGACTTTTGCTTAAGAGAAAGAAGAGGGGGAAAGACTGCTGGTGCTGCTGGCAGGGCCCCTGGCCCACTGACCACCCAGAGACAGTGACAAGAATCCCAACAGAAAAATGAACGAATGAACAAACGAAGGAGAAAAGACCGAAAGGCAAAAACCACCCTAAGGGCATCGAGGGGAGAATGAAGCCTAATTCAGCCTGTTCTTTTCCCAGGAAAATTTCAGGTGGATGAAAAGCACGCCATGCCGCAGTGGTCCCACTGCTGGGCCCACCCAGAACTCTACAGCCTCGGCACCAAGGCCTCAGTGGCCAGCAACCAGAACGATTTCCTCTCCCACCGCTGGCACCACCCCCAGGGACAGCCCCGCCGCTCCAGGCTGCCCAGGGCGGGCCTGGCCCCGAGCCCACGACCCGGAGTCTCAGTACGGGCATCCTCGGACTGTGCAAAGGGTGCTAGCAGCCACACCCCACCTCCCGCCCTGTGACCCCGCTGCCCCTGGCCCTCAGCCCTGGTGATGGAAAGACCCCGAGCTCAGCCCACCAGCGGCAGGGCCCCCGAGTGGCCCATTCCCACATGATAGGAGTGAGGGACTTTAGGAATCTCTGGTCTCACATGAATACACTGAAATCCCGCGTGTCTCCAGGTGCACGAAGGCCACGCACGGGGTCAGGGAGAGCTGGTTCTTTCAGGCTGACACACACACACACACCCGGGTCACTCTCACAGCCCGGCCCTGAGGGCGCCCAGAGGGCTGAACTGAGACGCAGACGGGCCTCCTCGGGCAGCCTTCTCCAAACTCCAGTCCAGCAAGTGGGCCTCCAGACAGGTCTCTGTCTCGTTCCAGGCCTTAATCTCCCGTCATTCAAGTGCCTTGGCCAACTCACCCCACGCCAGCTTCTAAAGCTTTCCACTGCCCTTTCCTCTGCTTAAAGGGGACACGTCCTGCCGCTGGGCACTCAAGACGCCCTGAGCGTGGGATCCTTTAATAATGCTCCTCCCCTTGTGGCCTCCCTGCATGGGCCTGCCTCTTTTTTCCGGGATCTGTGTCCTTCGGTCTAACCGTGCCTGATTAAAACAAGTCCCCTGGACGGAGTTTAGGACAGTCTTCAAGAGGCTTTCTCTTCTGAAGTCCCCATGGGGCCTCTGTTGTGTCAAATCTCCCCCCGTCTCCCCCCGACAAGGATATTAGGGCCCAGTCCGATAATCCTGGATCATCTCCCCACTGTAAGACCCTTAACTCAATCGCAGCTGCGAAGTCCCTTTAGGGCAGCAGCCCCACTTGGGGAACGGAGCGGCCAGCCACTCGCATACCGCGTGCCCCTTGCAACTCCTGGCAACTGTGGTCAGGGGCTCCCGTCTCGGGATCTGTCTCAAGTCTCACAAGCGCTCCCGTGTGTGGGCATTGCTCTCCATCGGGTTTGCGGACAACAGACCTTTCTGCCGCATGTCCTTCCTTCTGTGAGGATCCCTGACCTCCTGGAAGGACACCAGTTATCACCAAGGAGGGTCAGTGGTGACGACCGTCCTCAGAGCTGGACCCTTGGAATCGTCTCTTTTGACCTCATCTCAAAGCACACTTTTTGCTGGGTTTAGACGACCTGACCGACAGTGATTGACTTTGTTTTCCTTTCCTTTCTGTTGCCTCTGATAGCTTCTGTCGGAAGGTCAGTGCTCCTTCTTGCTGTTTGGCTCTTTGAGGTAATGGGTCCTTCCCGCTCTGGCCGCGTTGGAGGCCTCCCTCTGGCTGTGCCGTCTGCGCTTCACCTGGACACTCCTGGGTTCTGCTGCTCTTGCCCTTCTCCTCCGGCAGCTCGGCTCCATGCAGTGGCTGGATGGTGTCGGTCAACTCTTGGAAAGCGATCAGCTCCTCTCTGTCTTCACCCCAGGGGACAGTGGAAAAGGGTGGACTCCGGGCGGGTTCTGCTGTCGAGGGAGGTCAATGTGGGGGCCAGAGGCCCCTCCCTGAGCCCCGGGACGTCTAGCGGAGGAAGTGAAGTGGCGCAGAAACTCGTAGTGTATGTGTGTGTTCAAAGCTTAAATGCTTACACCACTGACCCCACCTCCCCCAGCGCACGGACCAGGCTGCCCAGCTATCCACAGAGATGTCCACTGCACTTCTCAAAAGCAGCGTAGACCCCGGACCACCCCAGTTGTTTTACAACAGCTCCTCTTTCAGAAAACCACAAGTCCCCACACTGCTCCGGCCAAATTTCTAAGGGCCACCAACCCACCTTCCCAGTGGGTCCACATCTGGGCACCTCCCTGCACTGTCCAGTCTTCGCGGTTTCAGCCACGGAGCGTTAGGCTACTTCCCGGCCCGCGGGGCGACCTTCCGAAGCCCTGACACAACCGCCAAGCGCTTTCCAAGAGCGGCCCGGTGGCGCTGAGCGGGAGGGGACGGAGGGGCGCACACGGCCGGGAGGGGCTCCAGACGGGGGAGCAAGGCACTGCCCTCGGCCTGGAGACGCGCTCCAGCTTCCGGGCTGCGGTCGACCCCAGGCCCGGCCCGCAGCCCCAAGCCCACCGCCCGGGACCGTCCCCACCCGCCCCTCCTGGCCGCGCTCCGGCCCCGCCCCGGCCACCACGCCCGCCCCCCAGCTGACCCCGCCTGCCCGGGTCCTGCCGAGGTCCCTCCCCGCGCCGGCGGTCACGTGGCCCGCGACCCGGAGGCGGAACCGGACGGCGGGGCGTGGACCTCGGCTCTCAGAGCGCAGAGCGCCCGGGGCGTGTGCAGGGATTGGGGTGCGCCAGCGCCCGCGCCCCCGCCATGCGTCCCCCGCGCCCCTCCGCCGTGCTGCTCGCCATCCTGAGCACGCTTTGGGTGGTGGCGCTCGCGGCCGCCGAGGCCCCGCACCTGGTGCGCGTGGACGCGGCCCGCGCGCTGCGGCCCCTGCGGCCCTTCTGGAGGAGCACCGGCTTCTGGTGAGCTCCGCGCGGGGACGCCGAGGTCGCGGAGGTCCAACTAGTGCCTGCCTGCCTGCCGCGCGCTCATTCCAAATGGCCTGCGGCCTCGCGCCACGCCCCGGGCCCCGGGGCCCCTTGTCGCAGCTGGAGCGGGCGCCGCGGAGTGAGGGGGGCCGCGGCTCCCTCCTCCCTTTCAGGCCCACCCTCGGGGTGGGGCTCTCCTCTGTCCGTTGGCCCTGTGCCACGTTTCCAGCGGTGCCGCGGAGCTTTGCCAGCTGAGTAGCTGCCCCTGCAGTCAGGGCGGGGGGGGGGGGGTGGTCCCCAGTGTGCCTGGTCTCCCCCAGGAGTCTGAAGAGCCTGGGGGCTTCCCAGGACACCCCAGGCTGCAGGAGGGGCTGTGGCCTAGGACCGTCTCAAGGGGGCAACCCCAGCGTGTCCCACAACCCCGCAGTGGGATCTGTACCCATGCTGGGTGTCCCTAGTGGCCTCTGCCAGGCTTGGAGCTGATATCTCCCCACCGGTGGGGCAGGGCTTAGCGTAGGTATGTGGTCTCCCTGGGAGCCCTTGACCCCCATAAACCTGAGGCTTCACCCAGTCCTGGCAGTAGGGACCGGTTTATTATGTCAGGGGCAGTAAAATTCGCGGGCAGAAAGGTACACCCCATCCCTCCCCTGGGTTTGTAGGTGCGGTGTGTGTGGAGGCTGTCCCATGAGCCCCTCCCCTGGGGACTGATGGCTCCACTCCCCGTGTCTTGTGTCCAGTCCCCCACTGCCGCATGGCCAGGCCGACCGGTATGACCTCAGCTGGGATCAGCAGCTCAACCTGGCCTATGTGGGTGCGGTTCCTCACGGCGGCATCGAGCAGGTTCGGACCCACTGGCTGCTGGGCCTCGTCACGGCCAGGTGGGTGACGAAGGGGCTGGGCCGCTGGGCAGAGCCCGCGGGGGGGGTGCGGACAAGACTGAGAGGGGGTGGTGTCTGGGCTGCAGGACAGTGCAGCGCGGGCCCTGGCGGGGCCAGAGGGAGTCACTGCCCCTCCGCTTCTCGGCAAAGACCCCCTGCCTTGGGCGCCGCTGACTTCCTCCTGGAAGCCACCCTGGAGGCACAGCTGGACCCCGCAGCGGCAAGCGGGCACTCTTGCTCTGCTCGGGCTGTGCAGGGCCGCCCCGTCAGGCCCAGGCTGCAATCATGTTGGTTCCATCTGCCTGAGGCCCAGCGGGGCTGAGGCACACGGTGTGAGAGACACTTGGGTGTGCGCAGTGTGGGTTTCCTAGACAGAGACTCTCATGTCCCTGGCCAGAGCTACCAGCTCTCACCAGGGGGGTGGGGGCTGGCAGGTCAAAGGACCGATGTCCTTTTGGCACCTTGGACGCCAGGTGACTGCCTCAGGGTCCTCCGAGTAAGACAGGACGCCAAGTGTCAGACTGGCTCCATGGACTGTGGGCATGCAGCACTGTGCCCGGCATGACGCTGGGGCCGCGTCTGTCTCGGGGTGCAGTGTGGGTCTTTGTGTGTGCCCAGTGCAGCCCTCCGTCCCGTTTGGGATCCCCGGCTTCTCTAGGTCAGAGGAACCAGGTGATGGAGGGTGGCCGTGATGGGCAGTGGGTGTGGGGGCTGGTCGCAGGCGCTGGCTCCGCTAGAGGATGGAGTTGGCGGCTGCCAGCTCCTGGTGGCGAGCGCGGGCCGCCTGCACGGCACAGTGCACGCTGGGGAACAGCTGCCCGTCCTCGGCCGCGTCCCCCGGGTCCTCCCCGAGGAAGCCACCTCTTCTCAGCATATCTGTTACCGAGGGGTTGCAGCAGGCCAGGAGCAGGCTGATGCCCAAGGCCCCATAGTCTCGATGCAGCTCCTGCAGTGTGGCCAGGCCAGCCACGTCCAGGAACAGCAGCGGGGCGCAGTCGATGACCACCGCATGGAAGCGGGTCACCGCAGGCACCAGCGAGGCTGTGCCACTCCCGGAGCCCAGGTCCCTGCCCCCCACGGGGTCTCCCTCACCGGCCCCCACCCCGGGGCCCCTCTCCTTCCTCCTGGCGACCGCGTAGCCCACGTCCAGCCCCGTGAGGCTGTACAGCGACTGCAGGAAGAAGTCCTTGTTGGCGTAGTAGAGCGGCCCCGTGAAGCGGAACACCTGCACGCCGGGCTCAGGGGCCAGGCCCTCGAACTCTGCCGGGTCCCCATAGAAGCTGGAGCCCCCAGCGCGGGCGAGCAGGGCGGTGCGTGGGTGGCGGGTGCGGCCAGCCAGGCTGAGCAGCGAGAGCAGGACGCCGGCCAGGAGCCCGGCCTCGGTGCTGATCAGCACGCAGGTGGCCGCCGTGGCCACCCAGACCAGCGCATCAGCGGGGCTGAGTCGCCACAGGCGCGGGACGTCCCGCACCTTGCGCAGGGCCCCACGCAGGCTGACCATGATGACGCAGGCCAGCACGCTCCGCTGCAAGTCCCGGAACAGCGGCGCCAGCACCAGGAGCACCAGCAGCACCACGGCGGCGCTAACCACACTGGACAGCTGCGTGCGGCAGCCCGTGGCCGTCTTCACCAGGCTCTTGGCCAGGGCAGCGCTCGTGGCGAAGCAGTGGAAGAAGGCGGGCAGCACGTTGCAGCAGCCCACGGCCAGCAGCTCCTGGTTGGCGCGCACAGCATAGCCGTGGCTGCGGGCGAACATCTCTGCCAGCGAGATGGAGAAAGCAGAGCCCACGAGGGCCAGGGAGGCAGCGTCCAATGCCACCCGCCACATCAGCCCCAGGTCTGGCACCCGCGGCACCACGAAGCCGGTGGGGATGTTGCCCGCCACGCTAGAGCCGAAGCGCTCGTGGAACTGCCCGAGGTGGGACACGAGCGTGGCCACCACGATGACCAGCAGCTCGGCGGGCAGCGGAACCCTCAGGCGGTGCTGGAAGCGGTCCGAGAGCTCCTTGGCGGCCAGCAGCACAGCCAGGCATACGGCACTGGTGAGCACATCGCACAGGTTGGCCTGCCCAGCACCGCGCAGCAGGCTCAGCCACGTGCTGACCACCAGGCCCGGTCCCCGGTGCCGCGGGACCCGCACACCCAGCAGGTGCCGGAGCTGGGAGGTCAGGATGGTCACCGAGGCCCCCATGGCGAAGCCGTCCAGCAGCGGCTGCGAGAGGAAGGCGGACACGAAGCCCAGCCCGAGGATGCCCATGAGAACCTGTGGACGGAGCATGGCCGGGGCTGCAGGTGGATAGCCCCACTCCCGCCCTCGCACTGCGTGTCTCCCTCGGGGCCCCCATGCGAGGCAGTCTGCACACGTGTGTGCGCACACAGGCCCAGCAGACACTGGAGTGCATGCCGTGGCTGCGGGGCTCAGCATGGTCTCATGCACGTGGACTCCAGGCGTCAGAAGGCAGCGCCACCCACCTCCCAGGAGAGCTGAGGGCAGGGACTGTGGTGGCGTTTGGGAAGAGGTGATGTGGGGTAGGTGTCCTGGTCCGAGGAGGCCTTAGGAAGGCAGGACGGCCCCAGGGTCCCAATTGGGACAGGAAGCCAGGGGGGACTCGGGGCCAGGTGGGGCAGTGGGGCATGCCTGGGCCCGGAGCCACAGCCCGTGGCCATCCGGACAGGCTCCCTGTGTGGGCGCGGGTGCAGCACCTCACCTGGTAAACCCCAGCCACCAGTGTGAGGGCCGTGGCCACGCGGATGGCATAGCAGTCCCGCCCGCAGTCCTGCAGCCCAAGCGCCGGCACAGTGGCTGAGTCGTTGAGACTGCTGCGGTTGGCCCCAGTCCCCAGGCCGTCCTGGGAGGGGTCGAAGCCAGCCAGCAGGAGCTCACGGTCCACCACCTGGCCCACCATGAGGCAGAGCAGGCTGAAGATGCCCACAGAGACGTGGCGCGAGGTGCCCATGAGGAAGTAGATGAGGTTTGCAAAGAAGGACGTGTAAAGGCTGTAGATGGGCTGCAGCCCGGCCAGCAGCGAGTAGGCGATGGCCTGCGGCACCAGGATGATGCCGATGACCAGCCCAGACATGATGTCGCCTGCCAGCGCTTCCCGGGGCCGGTACCCGCGAAGCCAGCAGATGGCAGGGAATAGGGCCTGCATCTGCGCCCAGGCACCCTGCAGGCTGCAGGCGCAGCTCCGCCGCAGCCCAGCCTTCAGGGCCTCACGCAGGCCCGGGGGCGGCGGGAGGTGCCGACGGACCAGCACCGGCCACCCACCCTGCTCCATGTTCTCAGAGGATGCTTCCATCGTGGGGCCCCGGGCTCCCCGAGAGAACCTGCAAAGTGGGTGGAGGTGGGTGTCACCATCGGGGAGGCCAGGCTGTCAGGGTCAGAGGGCCTCGCGGGAGCCAGACGCACAGCCGGACCGGGCCCCCTGTGCCCACGCAGCCCCAGTGGCCTATGCCCACACTAGAGGCCGCTCCGCCTGCCGTCTGGACACCTGGCCTGCGCCGGCAGCTGCAGCCCTGCGGAGGCCAGAGCCCTAAGTCCGCGCTGCAGCAGCACCTGCCGCGGCCCAGTCCTCAGGCAGACCTCCTGCATGTGCAGTGCATCTGGGGGGCAAGTGGGGCGTTGCGCCTGCCAGGGAGTCCTGGACGGCAGGCCCCCTTTCCCAGCGCAAGTTAACGCTGCTGAGTTCTGGCTCAGACCCCACGGGCACCGTGGGAAGCACGTGCCAACCATCCTCGCAGTCCAGAGGGCAGCCTGCCGCCCGGGCCCAGCCCAACCTGCCGCCTGCTCAGTGAGCAGGCGCACCGGGGCGCTGTTCACAGCTGCACTGAGGGCCCTCCGGCCTTCCGCTCTTGACTTCCCCTCATGACGGTCTCTGCCCACTCAGAGCCTGGTCACCCGGGCATGGTGCACACGGGCCTGGGACCCAGGGCCTGGGGGTGGCCCTGCGTGAGGAGGACAGGTGCAGGCCCAGGCCTGCCCTTCGGGGCACCACACTGGGATCCCTGGACACCCTGAGCTCAGCCAGAATTCTTGGGTCCAGGGGCGTCTGTTGAGGACTGTTTGAATGCCTGGGAGTGCACAAAAGAGACCTCGGGGTCAGGCCTTGCCACTCTCCAGATGGGCCACTGACCTCTGCTGTGGCCAGGTGGGCCAGAGCCCCGCTGTCCTGCAGTGGGCCCCAGAGTACTCTTACCTGAGGGACCCCCTCCCAGGCTCGGTGGGTAGTTCAGGCCTGGCGCGTCTGTTCCGGGACCCTCTGGCTCAGTCCGCGGGTGGGGCATGCGGCAGTGGGCTCAGGCTGAGCTGGCCCACGTCGACCAGCAGTCAGTGGTCTGTGCTCAGCATCTGACTGCCCAGTTTGCTGGGCTTGCAGTTAAATCATTTACTTAGACTGCTGAGTCACAGGTTTCCCCAAGATGAGTGTTACCTGAGCGGCTAATCCGGGGAGTTGTTCTGTAATCAGAGGCTCAGAGAATGACAATTGCGTGGGCCTTTCATAAGCTTCCAGTCTCCTGGGAGGGAGTGGGGCTGCAGGTGCGGACAGGGCGGCTGGGGTGGGGGCGGGGGGTAGCCATCGGGTGAGCTCTTGGCTCGGGGCCGAGTCCGCGGCTTCCAGGACCTGGAACGTGGGCAAGGGTGGGGGTCTGCGGGAAGGACGTGGCCCCCAGCGTCATCCCTGTACGTCCTGTTTTCCAGGAGGTGGGTCTGGTCTGTGCCGGAGCTGGCTGGGTCCCGGGCAGACGAGGCCCGGCTTCTGCTCTGGGTCGCAGACTCCAGGGTTGCCGGTATGGAGATCTGATAACCAGCCGAGCGTGTCCTTCCTGCCTGGGGTTGGGGGCGGGGTGGGGGGGCCTTGGGTCTGCCCTCTGGAGCCCAACCCGCTGGTTCTCAGCCAGGTGCTGACCCTGTGTTGAGGGCGGGTGCCTGGCCTTGCCACACCTCAGTCGCTCCTCCAGGGTGGTGGTACCTGCGTCTCGGGGCCAGTGGGAGGTAAGCGGTCAGTTTCGAGAACTACCCTCATGTCCCACTCACAGTATACTGAGTGTGCTGCTGTTTTAAATGTTACTTAGAACCTCAGTTCTCCCACCTTGAAAAGGAACATGTGGGTGTCTGAGGGGCAATATGGGGAGAGGAGCCCGTCTCCCGGGCCGTGAGTGTCCTCCACCCCGGGGGCCCGGCCGGGGTTGCTGTGATGAGGCTGCAAGGCAGAGCTGATCTGGGCCCACTGTCCCCTGAGGCCCGGGTTGGGGGCGGGCAGAGATCTCTCCAGGTTCCTAACACACTCGCCTCACTCTGGGACCTTCCCTCAGAGCCCCCAAAGGTGTACCCTGTTCTCATGCCCACAGCCTGGCTGGGGAAGACTGGGGCCCCATTTGGAGGCAGAGATGGGGGTGGAACCCCAGGATGGGCGGGGGAGCGCCCGAGAGTGAGAGGTCTCCCCACCCCTGCAGAAGGGAGCAGTGTGGTCAGTGCCCAGGCCCCACTGCTCAGCTCCAGACACAACCCTTGCCCTTGAGGACTCTGCCAGAGCCTGGGCCACCCCAGTGCCCCCCACCCACCCCTCAGCGCGCCCCCCACCCCTCAGAGTCCTGACCAGGGCCCACTCGGCCCTAGCGGGCAGCTGTTTGCCCAAGGATGTGGTTTATTTACAGGAGCCACTGGCCAGCGAGCAGGCAGGATGAGTCACAGCCGCCCAGGGGCAGATAAGAGTCCTCTCTGGGCTGGAGAGAGTGTAGCCACCGGGTCACAGTGCTTATCTTCCAACCGGCTACCAGTAGTGCGGGAACTGCCACAGGGGCAGAGGTGGAGCTGGGGGCCTCAGCCTGGGGAGGGGGAGCTCCGCCCACCCTGGGAGTCTCCTTGGGTGGGGGTAAGGCCCGGAGTGTGCACACGGGGGTTCCTGAGTGCTGGGAGGGGCGGTGGTGGGATGTGACAGGCCAGGGAGCTGGTGCGGGGAGGTGAAGGGAGGGGAGCCTGGAGGCAGGAGGGCGTTCTGGGGACCAGCCATGTGTGGAGCACCATGCTGGGGGCTGGGTGGGTGGAGGTGCTCTGGAAGGGCTCTCCTTCGGGCTGGCCTGGCTGTCGTGGTGGTAGGGTTGGGCCTTCTACTCCCCTAGCCCCTGCATCTAAGCAAGTGAGGAGATACAGCTGAGGCTTCATTCCTGTCCTTGGAGAGACCGGCAGGACCCCTGGGGCCTGAGCCGCGCCCCCGTCTGCCCCCTGTGCTTTAAGGCCCATGTTCTTTGCTGTCGTCAGAGAGGGAACACAGGCACCACCTTGGGGCCCAGGGCCTTGCTGGCTGAACCCCACTGCAGACTTTTCTGCGGGGGCAGGAGACAGCAGGGCCCTGGCGCGTGGCTGGCCCGCAGAGGGCACCGGATCTCCCGCGCCTCGGCCTGCGGGAATCGCCCTCCGTTTGCCTCCTCCAATCCTGTGCACACAGTTGTTTCAATGGTGGTCCTTAAATCACCGACTCCATAGCTGAGTTCACGTATTTGGAAAGGAGCTTTGTATACCCACGGCACGTGAGAAGAGCCAGCCCATCCTCATCTCTAGGGCGCAGCTCGCGGTTCCTCTCCTGCCCGCCCAGTCGGCCTGGCGGCCCCCTCGTAACCCCAACCCGGACCGCACTTCCCGGCCTCAGCGCTGGGCGCTCTCAGCCCCGCCCCGCGCACTCGCCCACGCCGGCCCTGCGCGTCCCACCCGCACCGAGCAGGGGCGGCCTGCGCTCCCGCCGCGTGCATTTCCACACATGCTCTGCTCCTTGCCCCCGCCACGAGTGCGACCGCACCCCGCACCGCCCCCCAAACCGAGCAGCCCCGGCCCCACCCCCACCCTGCGCCCCCGCCTGCCCGCGCATCCCTTCCCGCACCAGCCGAGGAGCATCCCCACCCGGCGTCCCCACTCTTCCACGACCGAGGCCTGGGCCCCGCCCCGCGGATGCGAGCACTCACCGGGCCTGGGCACCGCCCGCCGGGTCCTCGCGGCGCACGCGCTCGGGCAGAGGGACGGGGTGGGGTGGGCTCGGCGCCGCCCGGCTGGCCGCCTGCGCGGTGAATGAAGCCGTTGTGCAGCCGCCGCCGTGCGCCCGCCGCGGCCCGGCCCCCTGGCAGGAGCGGAAGACGACCCCGCCTGTGCCTCCCACCCAGGACTGGCCCCTGTAGGGCGGCAGGGTGGAGAGGCGCTGGGGCGACTGCGTCGGTGACCCCGGCCCCTGCAGGGGGGCGCTGGGCTGGGCTGAGCGCTGCAGCGCTGGCTCAGCCCTCTCGCTGGCTGTGACCGCTCCCATTCCTTCCCCGGGGGGGGGGGGGGGGGGCCTGAAACGGATGGAGACCTGGGCACCACCAGTAGGGCCCGAGGGCCGCCCCTCCGGGATTCTGGGCCCGGGATTCCCCCAGTGTTGGGTCTTTTGGTCCTTGAGAAGCAAGTGTCCCGACCCCCAGGGCATTTCTGGGAGCCGACGCTGGACGGGTCAGCGGAATCTCTGGTCTGCTCGGAGTAACGGGCTGGCATCGGCCCTGCGGCTGGGGCTCCCCTAGCAGCACCCTGCTGGCCCGGGACCAGAACGCGGGAACAGCATTTACCCAAAGGCTGCCTCGCTCGCGGGATCCACAGAGAGAGCCTGGCACCCGCGCTTCAGCGTCACCCACCCCCACCTGCGGGACTTTGGAACCTGTACCTTGCCGCACATTTAATTTTTACCCTATCGCTTAAGGCTTTTTCCGTTTGCTGCTGATTGTGACCTTTGGAGGCGGGGAGGGGGCGGATCACCGCTTCGCACATGCCGTGGGGCTGGCCCCCCCGGAGGCGGGAAGACTGGGCCGGACGGGAGCCGGAGGCACCTGGGTGCGTGGTGGCTCGGCCTTGACTTTGTGTAGAGAAGACTGGGAGGCTGGAGGCCCCGGAGGGAGGTGCTGACTTGTCCAAGCGCTCGCTCTCCGTCAGGGGCTCACCGCTGGTCAGTCCAGACCGGTGTGAAACAGACCAGAGCAGGTCAGGACCAGATTCCCCCGGACTTCCCCCTCGCGCCTCCGCTGCCGCCGCCGCTGGGGGCGCAGCTGCACCTCCCGGTCCGATCTGGACCCAGCGGGCCTCAGACCCTCTCTGGTCTGCCTGCCCCGTACGCCTTGGCATAACCACCGGGCACCGGCTCCCTCGGCCAGCCCCCGAGCCAGGTTCCCCTCGGATGCTCACCTCCGCGCCACACCAGCACGCCAAGCCCCATCTTACTCAGCCTCCCGATGCCTGCCCCTGCCCGCTGCAGCCGCCCCCACCCAGGGCCTCAAGGGCAACCCCTTGGCTGGACTGCCCTCCTAGCTCGCCCTAGTCAGCGCGCGCTGCCCCTCCACCTCCTAAATCCATCCGCTCCAGCTCCCTCGTGTTACCTCCACACCACCACCCAGAACTGTGGTTTTGTGGTGATTATGTCAGTGTGGGCTCAAAAATGGTAACAAATGCCCCACTCTGGGAGCTGATTATTGGGGGCGGGGGCTGTGTCTGTAGGACGGCAGGGGTAAATGGGAAAGTCTCTACTTCCCTCTCATTTTGCCGTGAATCCAAAGTACGCTAAAAAAAAAATTAAATCTCAAAAACATATGAAGGGAAAAAAAGGGGCTCACATTACTTCTCAGAGTGGGAAGAGGCAGGGGCGCTGTCCATGGTGCCTCTCAGAGGGGGAGGGGGCAGGGGTACTGTCCACGGTGCCACTCAGAGGGGGAGGGGGCAGGGGCTCTGTCCACGGTGCCTGGAAGAGTGGGGATTGCAGGGGTACTGTGTTCATGGTACCTCTCTGAGTGGGAAGGGGCAGGAGTGCTGTGTCCCCAGTACCTCTCAGAGTGGGAAGGGCTGGGGTACTGTGTTCATGGTACCTCTCTGAGTGGGAAGGGACAGGGGTGTTGGGTCCACAGTACCTCTGAGTGGGAGGGGGCAGTGGTACTGTCCATGGTACCTCTCAGAGTGGGAGGGGATGGGGATACTGTGTCCATAGTACCTCTCACAGTGGGAGGGGCAGGGGTACTGTGTCCACAGTACCTCTCAGAGTGGGAGGGGATGGGGGTACTGTGTCCATAGTACCTCTCACAGTGGGAGGGGCAGGGGTACTGTGTCCACAGTACTTCTCACTGTGGGAGGGGGTGGGGTGCTGTGTCCACAGTACCTCTCACAGTGGGAGGGCACAGGGGTGCTGTGTCCACAGTACCTCTCACAGTGGGAGGTGCAGGGGTCCTGTGGAGCCAGACCCAGGCCCCTGGCCCCAGGAGGTGCAGGCTCTGGCAATGCAGCACCCTGCCAGGCCCACCGCACAGCCTCCCTCTTCCTGTGAGCTGTCTTGCTCTCCCCGCCTCCACCTGTGGCACCTTTCCCAAAGGCCTGCCCACCCGCCCCCACCCTGAGCCCCAGGCTGTTCCGAGCCCTTGAAGGCCTGTGGAGCAGACGCACTCACGCATGCTAGGCTGAGGGCTACGAGGCTCACAGACTCTTTTCTCGAAGGAGAAAGGCCAGTTGCGCCTGGAGCCTAGTCCTGCAGGGCGCCCTGCTGGTTCCCAAGCTGCTTGAGTGTGGCTGCCGTTTCAGCCCCTGGACCAGCTCCCCCGCCTGACACTGAGTGTCGTTCCACAGGGGGCTGGCCGGGCAGGACCTGCGCTACAACTTCACCCACCTGGATCGGTACCTGGACCTTCTCAGGGAGAACCAGCTCGTCCCAGGTAAGCTGCCACGTTGCCCTGGTGCTGCTGGCCTCCCTGTCTCTCCTTGGCCTGGTTCTTCTGGGTCCTCCTGGCTGCCCACTCAGGGCTGCCTCTGTGCCCACCTGGCTGCGCCAGGCAGGTGAGCAGTGGGACGCCACCCTTGTTGCTGCAGGCTTTGAGCTGATGGGCAGCCCCTCTGGACGCTTCACCGACTTCGAGGACAAGCAGCAGGTGTTCGAGTGGAGGAACCTGGTCTCTCTCCTCGCCAGGAGATACATCGGTGGGCGGGGCACATGCCCTGTGGGGACTGGGTGGGCAATCCTGGGCAGGTTGCCCTCCATCCCACCCCCCACCCCACCTGGTTTTCTCATGAAGTCACCAAGCCAGGGCCTCCTGATGGGGGAGGGTCCGGGTGGTGGGGGGAATGGGCGAGGCCCGTGACCTCCAGGGACCCAGACCCTCCCATCACATCTGAACCTCCCAGCCGTGGTTGCCCTACTTGCTCTGGAGGGCTCCATGAGCTGGTGACACCGCCCCAGAAGAGGGGCCCTCTTGCCACATTGAGGACCCTCTGCAGGTAGGTATGGCCTTGAGCACGTTTCCAAGTGGAATTTTGAGACATGGAACGAACCAGACCACCACGACTTTGACAACGTGTCCATGACCTTGCAAGGTGGGTGGGCCAGCCTCTTGGGGTCCTGGGGATCCGCGAGGGCTTGGCAGCGGGCCCCTCTGGCCCGGAGGTGTGGACTCTGTGTCCTTCCCGCGCAGGCTTCTTGAACTACTACGATGCCTGTTCCGAGGGCCTGCGAGCAGCCAGCCCGGCTCTGCGCCTGGGCGGCCCTGGAGACGCCTTCCACGCGCCGCCGCGCTCGCCGCTCTGCTGGGGCCTCCTGGGGCACTGCCACAACGGCACCAACCTCTTCACCGGGGAGGTGGGCGTGCGGCTGGACTACATCGCCCTGCACAGGAAGGTAGCCGGGGGACCCCGCCCTTCCGCCCCCGCCTGCGGCCCCTCGGTGGCCCTCCCAAGGTGCTCAGGCGGCCGCTCGCAGGGCGCGGGCAGCTCCATCTCCATCCTAGAGCAAGAGGCGGCGGTCGTGCAGCAGATACGGCGGCTCTTCCCCAAGTTCACGGACACCCCCATTTACAACGACGAGGCCGACCCGCTGGTGGGCTGGTCCCTGCCGCAGACCTGGAGGGCCGACGTGACCTACGCGGCCATGGTCGTGAAGGTGGGCCCGCCCCCGGGAGTCCCGGATGGGAGGGGCAGACGCCCCACCGACAAGGTCCCAGCCGCCCCGACATCTGCAGGTCATCGCGCAGCACCAGAACCTGCTGCTGGCGAACGCCAGCTCGGCCGTCCACTACGCGCTCCTGAGCAACGACAACGCCTTCCTGAGCTACCACCCGCATCCATTCTCGCAGCGCACGCTCACCGCGCGCTTTCAGGTCAACAACACGCGCCCGCCGCACGTGCAGCTGCTGCGCAAACCGGTGCTCACCGCCATGGCGCTGCTGGCCCTGCTGGGTGAGCGGCGGGCCGCCCCGCAACGCCTGCTGCGAGAGGGGGATGTCTCTCTCGTCAGGAGTAGCCCGTGCAAAGGCCAGCGGACCCTGCCGCGGAGCGGGGAGCTCTTCTCTAGCCCCTCCCCGCCCCATTCCTAGCTCACGGGCAGCGGAGGTTGTGCGTGACCTCCCCCGGAGGGCGAATGGTGGGAAGCCCGGCCCAGGAGGGCAGAGCGACCACGACCCCCGTGTTGACCGCCCCTGCGTGCCTGCAGACGGCGAGCAGCTCTGGGCCGAAGTGTCGCAGGGCGGCGCGGTGCTTGACAGCAACCACACGGTGGGCGTCCTGGCCAGCGCCCACCGCTCCACTGGCCCGGCCGACGCCTGGCGCGCCACGGTGCTGGTCTACGGGAGCGATGACACCCGCGCCCACGCCAACCGCACGGTCCCATTGATTCTGAGCCTGCACGGGGTGCCCCCAGGCCCCGGTGAGTAGGGGTCGCGGGGAGGGGACCCCGGCCCTGGGGCGGGCGGGGCCTGGAGGAGGCGAGGCGCGGCCCCAGCATCTGGCTCCGTAGAGGTCGTCTTTGTCCAGCTCTACGTGGACAACTGGCTCTGCAGCCCCTACAGCGACTGGCGGCGCCTGGGCAGGCCGGTCTTCCCTTCGGCGGAGCAGTTCCGGCGCATGCGCGAGGCCGAGGTCCGCGGGAAGGGAAGGGAGGGGAGGGGGAGGGGAGGGGAGGGGGAGGGGCGCCTCCCGAGGTCCGAGGGTCCCGAGGGCCCGACTCTGTTCCCAGGACCCTGCGGCCGTGAAGCCACGCCCCTTCCCCAGCAGCGGCCACCTGACGCTGCGCCCTCCGCTCGCTCTGCCCTCGCTGCTGCTGGTGCACGTGTGCGCGCGCCCCGAGGAGCCTCCGGGCCAGGCGAGTGGCCTCTCCCCCGCCCCCCCACTCCCGGCCCCGACCCCGCCGCCCGCCCGGGGCGCCCCGAGGAGCCACCGGGCCAGGCGAGTGGCCGCTCCCCCGCCCCCCCACTCCCGGCCCCGACCCCGCCGCCCGCCCGGGGCGCCCCGAGGAGCCACCGGGCCAGGCGAGTGGCCGCTCCCCCGCCCCCCAACTCCCGGCCCCGACCCCGACCCCGCCGCCCGCCCCGGGCGCCCCGCCCCGCCCCGCCAACCCTCAACTTCGCTCCCCCAGGTGACTCGGCTCCGTGCTCTGCCCCTGACCCGCGGGCAGTTGCTTTTGGTCTGGTCGGATGAGCGTGTGGGCTCCAAGTGCGTGAGTGCGGTCACCGCCCCTACCCCTGCCCCCAGACCCCGCCTCAGCCCGCAAGTCCTCCCAGCTGCAGGGCCCCAGCGCCCCTCGGACCGCCCCCCCCCCCCCGCAGGATATGTCCGCGTCCCCCACACTCACCTGCCTCCATTGTTGGCACCAATGCCCATGACTCTGCACCTGTCTGATGTAGGGTGGGGGCATCTTCACGGGACCTCTGCTCATGACGCTTGTGGTCCAGCTCTCTCCTCCCAGCCAGAGTGGACATCGCCACTGCAGGGAGAGTGTTCGGGCTCTGCGCCTGACCTTTCTGCAGCCCCCCTGGACCCCAGCCCTGGTCTAACCTCCCCAGGTGCCTGTGGACCTATGAGATCCAGTTCTGCCCAGAGGGTGGGGTGTTCGCTCCCATCAGCAGGAAGCCTTCAACATTTAACCTGTTCGTGTTCAGCCCAGGTGTGCCTGCCACCTCGGCACAGTCCCTGGGGGGAGTGGGGTGGTCCAGGGCCCTTCAACACCTGGAGTCTGGGGGCATAAGAGGGGTTCAGGCTGCAGATGAGCATGTACCTCTGTGTCCACAGACACAGCTGTGGTCTCCGGCTCCTATCGGGTTTGTGCCGTGGACTACTGGGCCCGGCCAGGCCCCTTCTCCAGCCCCGTGCGGTACCTGGAGGCCCCTGCCTCTTGAGGGCTTCTGCTGCCCAGCGACTGGGCCTGTGCTGACCGTGAGCCTGGGCGGCCAGGAGCCAGGCTGGGCCCAACTGCCAGCAGTCTGCCAGCCAGTCCTCCCCTCTGCTGGTCCCCTCCCGCCCCTCACTCGCCCCCTTAAAGGGCCTTACCACTCATGGTCTCGGGGACAGCCTTCATGGTGGGCACTGGGACACGGGGCCTAGCTGGAGCACGGCCATCCCCGCTGGCCCACCAGAGGCCTCGGCCCACCCGTGGGAGCCGGGATTCCACTTGGGTGGGATGCGGACAAGTGTGAGTTGCCATTGGAGTGCCTGCCCTGGAGTGCCCGCCCTGCCTGTCTGGAGTCTCAGTGTCACCGCTGGGCGCAGCAGGCCCACCATGTCCCCTGCAGGGCAGAACCTGAGGCTCTGCCCGGAGCAGGTGGCCTGGGGCAGGACAGAGCCCAGGGGGGTCCTGCTTCCTGAGGCCCAGCCAGATTGGACCCTGCACCCCCCCGGGCAGGGGTTTCCAGGCTGCCTGGGCCAGACTGTCCAGCGGAGAGAGAGGCTGACAGCGTCCACTCCACGGTCATCTGGGCTGCTCATCCGGCCCCTGGAGGAAACAGACCTCACGTCCAGACGAGGACCACCTAGGGGCTGGGGACGGACGTGGGGGCAGAGGGCAGGGAAGCTGCAGGGTTCTGCGGAACCTGGGACTTCTCCCCACCCCACCTGTGTCCCAGGACAGATGGAGTCCACGGAGCACGGTGGGGAAAGGCCCCCAGTGAGGAGAGGACCATGCCCCGCAGAAGTGGGCCCAATACCCACCTGCCTGCTGCCCTCCCGGAGCCACCTGGGCTCGGGGGCAGGGCGGGGTGCAGCGGGCCTGGCCAGGCGGATGGAAGACAAGGCCTGGTCGTCCCCCCGTCTGCCCTGGAACCCGCTGCCCTGTCCACGTGGAGCATGCAAGCATCTGGGCCCACCAGCTGTCTTGTCCTGGGTGAGGGTGTTGGTTTGGCCATTCTCCCATGAGAACCCCAAGATCAGCGCCTGTCCCCCTGCCTCAGGCCTTGGTGCCCAGGGCCCCACTGTTACCAGTCACCTCTTTAAAGGCCCCCACTCCAGACAGCACTCACATTCTGAGGTCCTGGGGGTAAGGACGTCAGTGTTTGAACTGGGGGAGGTAGTTTGCCTGCATCAAGCCCTGAGCCTGTTCTCTGTGGTGGGAACACCTCACCCCAACATTAAAGCAGCCTCTTCTCCACTTGCTGGCTCGGTGGCCTGAGGACCCCAACTGTCAGGGTCCCTCTCAGCATCCTGGGAGGGGTACCGAGCTCCCGGGTTCCTTCCTCAGACACCATGCACCCCACCTGCCCTCCAAGGAGCAGAGATCACCCCCCGCCCCTCCTTCCGGGCACAGAGCAGTGGCCCAGGCTCCTCAGTCTCCCAGCAGGAGCCGGTTGCCGCCTCGCTGCTGGGAAGAGGGACCCTCCTTCGGAGAGTTGTGGCTTCTCGGCCATCAGCAGGGATTCGGCCCTGATCCCTGGGTCTTGCCGGGACAGTCAAGCCCCGGCTGTCTCAAGGGGCAAGTCACCGTCTCCACTGAGATCGTGGCTGGTGTGCTGTCAGACCGCCCCCAAGCTGCTGGCATGTTCTCACCGTCCAACCGTGTTTTGGTCCTTGCTGGTTTGGGGTTGCGCTCAGAGTCGGGCTGAGAGTTCTGGAAGGCCACGTCCTTGGCCCCTGCACAGCCTTCATTATCCATGCTGCCGCGGCCACTGCGCGTGTGTGCCATGGAACGGCACCAGGACAGCAGCAAGAGGCTGCCCTGTCTGGCGGTAGGGGTCCCTTCTTGGACCTGTGCAGCCTTCCTGCAGGACACAGCGCCCTCTCTGCCCCTCTCCCCAGGTATTTGTCCCCACGTATCCTGTCTTCGTCATCCTGAGTCTGGCCCGCTGGCTGCCCTGTTGGATGTGGCCTGCTGGAGCCAGACACGCACCTCAGTCCTGCATGTGCGGAGGCGCTGGTGGGAGTGTGCCCTTGGACCACCCTCCAGGGTCACTGAAGGCTCCCAGAGCGGGCCCACATGGGGAGGTGGGGAGCCTCCAGGTCACACGTCCTGCTTCCAGACGCACGGGGCCCAGGCTCTGGGACACATGCTGCGGGCACTGGCTTCTCACTGGCCCCAGGGTCGTGTCCCTCGGTAAATGGGGCTGGAGCCACCCCGGAGCGGCTTCTGGAGAGCAGAGTCGGTCCTGACTGAGGAGGAGGCGGCCGTGGTCCAGGATGCTGGGTCCTGGACCAGAGCACTTGTCGGGGGTCAGCCTCAGATGCTCCTGTCAGCGGGGCCTTTGTGGGCTGTCCATCCACGGGGCAGTGGCCTGTGTCGTGCCTGGCCAGCATGCCTGTGGCCCAGGAGATGGGTCAGAACGGCGTGTGTAGGTGCAGCGTCTGCTGCACCCTACCCCGAGCCCCACCAAGTGCTGGGCTCCCAGAAGTGGTCCTAGAGCAAGAGAGCACCCCCACTTAACAGGACACCCTGACACTGCCAGCCCTCAGACTACAAACTCCCCTGGAGTCGCCTGGACTTTCATAGGGCCTACCTCCCCCCGCCCGCCCCCGCCCCGCCGCTGGAGGACAAGGCTTACCCAGGCCGCCACGGTGCATATCATCGCGCCGCCACCCTGATTGGCATAATGTCATCGAGGAAACCGAGATCCCTGGACTGACTGAACTAAGACAGTGGGAGAGGTGGTGCAGCAGATAAGCTCTGAAGGTGAGCCACCATGCTGGCCACCTGAGGGCTTTGCTGTTCTCGTGCACAAGGGTAGAGAAGCCGGCACTTGCCAGTTGGCTGCATCTTGGTGCCACGGGCTGTGATTCAGTGGAGTAAGGGTGTTGCCACAGGTCATATTGTGATCATCGGTCACCCACACCTGTCTGGCAAGTGACACGGAGACCAGAGGAGTCCCTCAGTCACATTTCCCCAGTTTCTAACGTGAGACCCAATCGCTATTTCCCAATGTGACAGGCAGGCCTGGGGGCTTCCACAGTACGCCCCCTCCTCCAGCCAGGGGGCCCTGGGGGCACTGCTGCTGGCTGAGTGTGGACAGCCCAGCCTATGTTCTGGGGAGGCGGGGACACCCAAGGGAGGGGCTGCACCCCATGGGTGCAGAGATTCAGGCCAGAGCCCCATCTGACCTGCGCTGGTGGTTCTCAGGAGTGTGACTTTGCCTCAGGCCAGAGCCATCATCCGGGAGCCCCCAGGGTGTCCGAGGGTCCTCCTCCGTTGGGCAGTCACGGGGGTACCTCAGGGGCCCCTCCCACAGCTGGGGTGCAGGCTCCTGACTGCACGGGCACCCAGCCTTCCCTCCATCGAGACTCTGGGTCCTGGACGTGGGCCCAGCCTCATGTGACAGGCGGTGTCAGAGCCCTGCCCACAGACCTACAATCTGCTGCCTGCCTGTGCCTCCAGCAGCACTCCAGAAGGTGCCCGTGTGTCTCCTTGCTCGGGGCTCTGCGTGTAATCTGTCTTCTCACTTTTGCCAAGGACCCCGGGAGCCCACGGCTTCACACGCTCCAGTGTGTGGGTCACCTGGGGGCTTGGTATACGTGGTCCGACTCTGGTCTGTCTGGGACGGGGCCCAAGACCACGTTTCCGACCACCCTGGATGCTGCTGGCCCTGGAAGGCAGGAGTCCCAAGAGGGTCCCCTGCAGAGGTGGGCACTACCCCCCACCCCCAGACCGGAAGGAAGAAGAATGGGCTGGCTGCCCACGGACCTGTCGCCTCAGACCCCAGCCTTGGGCGCCTTCCAGGTTTGCAAAGGCAGCCAAATGCCACCAGACACCCAGGGGTGACCTGGGCCCAGCCCAGGAAGGGGGGCAGTGGGCCCCCTGGGAGCAGGGGTGGGGGCCCTTCTTGGGGCCTCAGGGGGATGAGGGGCTGCAGGGAAGGCAGCCTGGTGCCCTTGCCTATGACCCCGAGGGGGCCCCGGGTTACGTGGGTGGTGGGGCACATGGATGGGGTCCAGCCCCTTGCTGTGATGGGACCTCCCCAGGCTGAGAGTCCTGAGCGCAGTGGCTGGGATTCATGTGCCCACCCCCGCCTACACATTACCATGCGGGAGACCAGCTGTCTCCTGGGCACCAGGGCAGAATCCCCCTGCAGCCTCTTGGTCAAGAGGCCCCACTTGGGTCGGCACAAGACACTGGGAGCAGCCCCTAACCCCCAAGGCAGAGCGAATGGTGGGCACCCCTGCTGCAAGCAGGGGCCATGGATGCCAGCACTGACCCAGCTCTCTCCCCCAGACCACCACGTGGCAGGCCAGTGACGGCAACCGGCCAGGCCTGCCCACCAGGGAGGCTGCTCCACCCAGCAGAGCTGGCAGGATGGGTTGGCATGACCAGTGTCCTGCTCTGGCTTTGGGGGTTCAGGGGTGCCCATCTGCAGGAGTGGGGCCCCGTCTTTACAGGGGCACTGGTCAGCCTGGCTGACAGGGCTCACTTGGCCTGCAGTCCCACCCCGCGGCCACACCCAGCAGCTCAAGTCCCAGCCAGTAACCGCCTGCCATGAAGTGGGTCCCCGGTAACGTCCACACCCCTGAGCCCCTGTGGGGCAGCTCACCGTCTGGGGGGTACTTTGGGCCAAAGCTTCCACCAGGAGCCACCCTCCCAAGCTCGCCCACCCCTACAGTATCTGCCTGAGTCACGAACAGCACACCAGTGTTCCCCGGGGCAGAGTGTCCTCCACGAGGGTCCCAGTGCAGGGGCAGGAGCGGCCAGCCCCATGCATGGGGCTCCAGTGAGGGTCTCAGGAGAGAGGGTGAAACCAAAAAGAGATCTTTGGAGCCTTACACAGTCTAGGTGATGTCACCCTGTTCAGGCGTGGCGCTCATTCCGCAGCTGCGGTCAGAGGGGCCATGCGTGTGGACCCCTGTGGCCTTGGCCGCCCGCCAGGGCCCTCCTCTCGTCTGTCTAGCAGGTCAGCCTGTCTTTTTTCTTTTTAAAAAATAATACCTT